TATGCTTTTTCAGCAGGAAAAGGATTTCCGCCGTTGGAGTCCGGTTTGGCTACCCATCGTCCCATGGACCTGACCATCCTGGCGCTTGCTGGTGAGTGGTGGGTGGAATTTGATGTAATGGAAAAGTCCAGGGGTGAGGAGCTTCTTTTTCGTGGCCTCTTTCCCTTGTCTTTCTAGCCCGTCTATCAACGATTAGATTTTAGCGTCCTTCCTTTTTGGAAACAGACACATCCCATGAGCTCAGTTTATTGCATTTTTTTTTTTTTTAACCTATCATGCATCATTTTGGCATGCTACATTTAGGCAAACAGAGGAAAATTTAAATGTTGAGGTTGTGTATGTTGGTGTGTTGTGTAGACCACAAATCATCCCTTACCCCTTCACTTCGTCCTAACAATAAAGTGTTCATAAGTGAAAAGCAGGGAACTCGGCACAAAGGGGTGGCCTGTAGAAAACTGGAATCTGGGGCTGGAGAGATGGCTTACTGGTTAATCGCTCACATGTGGGCACTGCCAGGGGACCCTGATTTGGTTCCCAGCTCTCATGTTAGTGGCTCATAAAACTGACTCCAGCTCTGAGGGGGATGGGTAGACCAGGCACTTTCACTCATGTGGTACACATTAACATATACACATAATGTATAAATAACTGGAACCATATTAAGGAGTGGATGAGGCTTTATTTTTCTAAAAGAGCATATTTGAACTTAATTATTTTCTCTTTGGGGCATGTTTCAGTATAACTTAAATCACTGTTGTGTTAAATTACAGGAAAACAGTGGGTTTCATTATATGTTTATACAGGCACATTGTGTATTTGATCTTGCCTCTCTTGCCTCTTCCCGTCTTCCCTTTTGCCAGATAGTCCCTCATGTAGGTCTTTCTTTATAAACAAAGTTTATTGGGGCTGCTTTAGAATCCTTGTCGCTCTTGCAGATGACCTGGGTTTGATTCCCAACACCCATAAGGTGGCTCACAACCATCTGTAATTCCAGTTCCAGAGGATTAGACACCCTCTTTTGACCTGTGGGGGGCACTAGCCACATGCAGGCAAAACACTAAAATGAATATCTATCTACCTACCTATCTATCTATCTATCTATCTATCTATCTATCTATATCTTTTTAAAAAGAGGTGTGTGTGCGCGTGCACATGTGTGTATACATGTGTGTATGTATACACGTATGTATGTATGTATGTATGTATGTATGTATGTCTTTCCATAGAGGCCAGAAGTGGGTGAATTATTGATCACCTGAAGCTGGACTTACAGGTAGTCATGAGCCACCTGTTGTTCATGCTGCAAACAACTCTGTCCCTCCGAAAGAGCAGCAAACACTTAACTATTCTGTATCTCTAGCCTCTACTGTTTAAAAATTTCTTTTATTATCACTGTTAAACACATTTACTTTATATGTATGGGTATTTTGTCTGATAGTAGGTCTGTGCACCTTTTGAGTTGAATGTCCATGGAGGCCAGAAAGAGGGTATCAGATCCTGTGTAACTGGAGTTACAGATTGTCATGAGCTTCTGTGTGGGTGCTGGGAATGAATCGTGGTCTTCTGGAAGAGCAGCCAGTGTTCTTAATTTCTGAGTCAGCTCTCCAGCCCTATTATGATCATTTTATTTTTCATTTTTTGAGACGAGGTCAATAGTCCAGGCTAGCCTAGCCTAGAATTCACTGGATAACCCAGTGCAATCTTGCTTCAGCCTCCGTAGTGCTTGGATTACTAGCATGCATGAGCCACTGTGCAGAAACCCAGATGTTAAACTATTTGAACTTTAAGGTCTACTTCCTTTGGATTTATTCTATGAAAGTCACAGTAGTAACTTAGCTGATGAGAGTTGATGGGTTAGTCCTACCCACTGAGACTGAGGAAGAAGATAGCTTGAGCCCTTGAGATCTGGACTAGCTGTGACAACAGAGTGAGATCCAACAAGAAAAATTGTCAAAGTATGATTAGTGGAAACAGCTGAGGAAGCCTAGATAAACTGAGTCACAGTGGGAGTGGTCATACCTGCTATAGGCCCTGAGAACCAGAATTGTGTTAGCCCAGAATAATTTAAAAATGACCACACTGGCCAGGCATGGTGGTGCATGCCTTTAATCCCAGTACTCTGGAGGCAGAGGCAAGCAGGTCTCTGAGTTCAAGGCCAGCGTGGTCTACAAAGTGAGTTCCAGGACAGCCAGAGCTACACAGAGAAACACTGTCTTGAAAAACCAAACCAAACCACTCCTGGTCCTGTACTGATCCTAAGCAATGGAAAGGACAGTGAGGGAAGTTGGGTCCTAAGCCGTTTGGTCACGCCATTGTGCAAACCAGGCTTGGAGTGATTATTTACAACATGTCAGATAGTCTAGAAACTTAGAAACTTATTGGCAATCAAATGGCTGTCAGCCTCATTTAGTGAATATCTAATTCAGAAAAGTTACAGTGAAGATCTGCCTGCCTCTGCCTCCAAAGTGCTAGGATTAAAGGCGTGTACCTCTATGCTTTTATACAACTTTATGCCTGGCCAAAGATGAAATCTTGGGGTCAGGGAGAAGAGGGTGATAACAAAGGGCTGGTGCTTTAAATGATTAAATTAAATCAGTTTGTTTATTACTGTTTTTTAAAATATTTCAAATTTACTTTTGATGTAAAATCTTTAGAATGACTCAATAGGTGGCTAAAGTATTTTTTCTTTTTCATTTGGCTTTCTACTTGACAAGGTTCTGGTGGTCTTCATGGCCCCATGAGAGGCTAGACATCTAACCAGTTGGTAGAACATTTGCCTACTGTGTGCAAGGTCTCTGGGCTCTATTCCCATTACCACAAAGCAAAGAAGAGTATGCTTGGCAAATGCTGCAGCATGTGGTTTCTGTTGCTCCATTTGTAGGCCTCAGCTTAGGGCTGGGGTTGTAGAGAAGTATATATAAGGGAAGGTAGCAGTTATGAGGATAGCTGACTCTAGGGGCACCATTGCTAATGAGTTGGTATTATCTCACTGGAGAAGCAGGTGCTTCTCTTGCTTGGCCTCTAATCTCTGATTCAGTGAATAATCTCCTCTTAGTTGGTCATTCTAATTACCTCATATCTATTTTACCGCTTCTGCTTTGCCACTAACAAGTCAGTCAACTTAAGTAAGACCCGAAGGCTGTAGCCAGTTTTGCTGTAACCAGAACTGGGGAGTGGTAATAACTTTGCCTGTTGACTGACTGTGCCTCTAGGTATGTCCAGCATGTACCTTGAAGGTATATGTAATGCTCCCCACCACAACATTATAAACTTAGAACATGAGATCTTAATTTTTGTAATTCAGTTATGTGAGTCCCAAGTGTGAGCTTTGTAGTGACAATGTTGCTGTGTTGCAATGTCAAAAAGTTGAACAGGTTTGTAGACTTTCTAGGTCCTTTCATTTTAGGGAGGGGAGTTTCCAAGTCATTCGATTGAGTATAGGCAGCATTGCATAGCATCATGGCTCAGATGTAATCCAGGAAGACAGAGTCACCTGGTGTTACCTTTGTGGAAGGAACATTTGGAAAGACAAGAATAGCCTAGATACATTTTATTGTGCTTTGTGGGATCCATGCAGGGTCTTGGCATTAGGTTGTATTTTCCTCTGTTGTGAAGAGTAGGCTGTCTGGATTCTGAAGGCTGTGAACTCTAGTCCTACCTGAGACAGGAGAATTACATCTGATAATCTGGTCAAGTGAGGTACAACAATGTATGTGAGATGGCTAGAGCATTTTATATAGTAGTTAGAGATCCTTGAAATGGGTGAGTTGCCTTTGAGGACTCATGGAAGATCTGTTGAGCAGCAAAGGGACTTTTTAAGGTCTTCATTAAGGTCCATGGGCATTTTTGACTTTCAGGCTTTTTTGCTGGGGCTGTGGATTGAGAATTAGGATTGCTTTAATTTTTGTCCATTTTTCTTTTATTTCTCTTAAGATAGGGTCTTATATAGACCAGGCTGCCTTAAACTCTTAAAGAATTATTTTATGAGTGTTTGCTCTGCATATATATGTATGCCTGTTATCCTCAGAGACCTGAAGAGGGTGTTGAATCAGTATCCTAGAGTGTATGCTGGGAACAAGCAAGTGCTCCTAACCAACAAGCCATCTTTTCAGCCCTGACCTTGAACTCATAAGATCCTACCCCATATCTAAGTGCTAAGTTTACATGTGTGTACCTTTGGCCTTCAGTTTTAATAGTGGTTAGGAGGATGTAGTATATGTTATGTTTTTCTGTAATAAGATGAAGAACAGTGGCTATATAGTAAACATGAAGGGGAACAGGTTTTAAGTAGGCTCCTGCTGAGCTTCTTATAATATCAGTACTCATTGTCCTACAATATTCCCCACATATGCTATAATATAGAAAATAATGCATTAAAATTTGTTCCTATTATTTAAATTTGACTTTGCACATGGAACTCTGGATCTTTTTTTTTTTAATTTTTTTTTATTAGTTCAAATTAGGAACAAGCTTGTTCCACATGTCAATCCCTTCTCCTCTCCCTCCCCTCACTCCCATCCCTCCTCCCCCACCCCTGAACTACCCCTCACCCCATCCACCCTCTACTCCCCAGGCAGGATAGGGCCCTCAACCAGGGCTCTGCAAAGTCCACCACATCATCCTGGGCTGGGCCTAAGCCCTTCTCCATGTGTCCAGGGCAAGAGTGCATCCTTCACGTGGGCTGGGCTCTCAAAGTCCCTTCTTAGACCAGGGAAAAATACTGATCCACGGACAGCATCTGGGGTCGATGTGCTCCCCTTTGTTCAGGCCAGCTGTTTTTGTGGGTTTCTCCAACTTGGTACCGACCCCTTCGATCTTCATTCCTCCCTCTCTTCAACTAAGGGACTCTGGATCTTAATCAGAATAGTTACTTGTAAGGCTGGTTATATGGTTCAGTGCTTGCCTAGCATCCATGAATCCCTGGTTTTTGTCCCAGCACTGAAAAAAAAATGACTCAAAGGCCATATAGGGCCTTTAAGAATTAAATGTTATATAAGATGTAGCATAGGGGTAACTATTCATTGTTTCCCAGTTTGATCAGTCTTTGTTGTCTGTTCTAAATCTCAAACAATTCTCATGATGAATTTTGAT